AGCTTTCACTATGGTTACAATGGGTTGAGGAAGATACAATGGGAGATGGGAGGCCGCAAGAGCAGGCGAGGACACTGTCTGGCTCCCCAGCCTGATCCAAGGACTTATTAAAGCTCCCTTGGCTTTAGTTTTGCTCATATTTAATACTTTGGGGCAGTAGATTAGGTATGCTGCTCCTTTTATTTTTTCTTCCCTTCAACAACATTTATTTATTTGTAAAACCTATTGTAACAGCCCATCTTGCCTCAGGGTAACAGCATAGTTACTCTTAGGTAAGAAATATTCAGGTGTAAATTACCTAGCTACAGCTCTGGCAGAAATGAGGCAGAATCTAACTCTCAGAGGAGATTGAATAGAGAATGACCTTGAAGGACAGAGGAAGAATCACTACCCAAGCAACAGCTGGATACAGGGAGGGCTGAATCTATTCCAAGAGACTAATATCAGGAAACATCCAGGGGTGGGCTTTAAAAATTTCAGCAACAGGTTCCCTGCTCGGTTACTAGGTGGGCGTGGCCATGTTGGGTGTGGCCTACTCGGCCTCCTGCACCACGGTGAAGGGGGATATTTTCACCCTCCTCAGGCTCCAGAGGCTTTCCTTGAGCCTCCGGGAGGACGAACACTATTTCCCCCCCCCCGGGCTCCGGAGGGTCCATTTCCGGCCTTCCAGAACTTCTGGGAGGTCCATTTCTCCCCCCCCCCACCACTCCATGAGCCTCTGTGCGAGCCCTGCATTTATCTCGCATCCAAAACAGGCCGTGTGGAGACTCCTGGGAGGGGAGGGCGGGGAGAGGCCAACCAGGGTTGGGATTTGGAGGTTCTTTGAACCGGCCATAACATTAGCTATGGGTTCTGGAAACATCTCAACAGCCCGCCCCACCAGATTCACAATAAAACGAGAAGATTGGGAGAATGTATTCAGTCTTGCAAAATGATTTCTAAAGTCTCTACAGTCTCAAGATCATACAGCTGTAGTGATTCACTTAACAAATATGGCAAGAAAGGTCGTAAAATGGGGCAAAAGTCACGTAACAACTGCGTCACTTAGCAACAGAAATGGTGGGCTCAATTGGGGTCGTAGGTCGAAGACTACCTGAACATTACTGGAGCTGTAATAATAATAATAAAAAATAGTTTGGCACTGATTTCTTAACTCCGCAATTCTGGTATAGCAGAAATCCTTCTAGGCATGCAGATCTTGCCCCAGAGGGCAGCTGATTATTAATGAGAGAACCCAGGTTTGCATGCATAAAAGTTACGGACAGCAGGAAAAAAAGAAGCAAGAAATATTAGAAGCAAAAAGAAAACCACCACTGCTAACGCAATGCCGATCTGGTGGCTGACCTGCGCAGCTTTTAGTGCGCTCTTGTGTTCTTCCAGTGTCATTACAAGCTGGTTGTGTTGGGAGATTAAATTCTTATGCTGAAACTACACAAAAGAAAATACCACATTAAATGTGAGCCCAGGTGTTTCTTCAAAGCTTAGAAGATATTTCTTAAGGAGGCTGTCAAGCGTTGACTTCTCACTTGCTTTTTAACCTTGCTTTTATTAAATATACAGCAAAGCCTCGGTTTAACAGGTAAATTAAAAGGAGTGGTTCTTTCTTGCTTCTCACTATTAAATCAAAGGGTATGTTATCTCCGGCACCATTGTTATGCATGACATAGATTATGCCATTTATGACAAATGATGTAATTATACACAGTGTTTTCATTCATGCCATTTAAGTTCATTAATATGAGGTTACACTGTACAGAATATGCATTTTATCAAACTTTAATAAATGAGGGGTGGGTTTATGCAGTCACAACTAGAAAACATAGATTGAGAACAGACATAAACCAGGAATGACAAACTTTAGTGCACAAGTTTGCTGCTTGAATATAGTCAAGTGTGGGCGATTTAATACGCCATCATTTAAAAAAATGATTTAACAAGAAAAAATGCTAAAATTGATTTTTCTGTTCTTAATTAGCGTTATACATCAGAACCCAAACAGCCTCTAAAGTTAAATAGGTTATCTTTCCTAATTAAAATGAATCCCATGGAGGAAATCTTAGTTTTATACTGTCCACACACATACACACATATTCTATTCTATTCTATTCATTTTTCTATTACATCCTATCCTCTCCTATCGAACATATCAGCTAGCTTGTTCCCAGGACAAATGGTTTTGTGCATGAATTTCTACAGAAAATTATTGTTCCTCATTTCCCATCAATAAAAATTATTTCCTCATACATTTCAGGAGAAAAATGGTTCTGAACAAATAAGGAAGTTTCTTTCCACCATCTAATGCATTGGGCATTTCTATGAACTTCATCTGCTAAAAAAAACCTATTAGGTGTAATTATTGTATTGATTTCAATATTCCATAAGCAACATTTATATGTTTTATTTATCCATGCATTTATAAATTGAACACATACAAGTGTTCTGACGATACTGCCTTTTTACTCTAGCCTTAAACTGATTCTGCAGCTCATAATTCTTAGAGAATTACAAGCTAAGATAATTGTGAACTATCTATGATCTATTTGGCAACAAGAATGGTTTATGGAAGATTGTAGACTTGGAATGTTAATGGAGTAAAAGGGAAGAGGATGAATGAATAACTGAAAGGAATGAATGAAAGAAAGAAAGATAGGTACATTGTATGCCTGAGAATCTAAGCGGATTGTAAGAGATATGAACGAAGGTAGTTTGATCTTGCGCAATGCTGTTGATGAATACATGCATGAGCATGAAGGTGTGAGTTCAATTAGGAATAGAAGAATTAAACTGAATGCCAAAAACTACTAGCTAGTATTATGCGGACTGTTTTAAGGGTACATGAAAATAGAAATTTATAGGCAAGTGCTGCATGTTACGCTCCAATGAACTGTGATAATGAAAAAATGAGGAATGAATTCAGAGAAAAACTGTTCAACATTCTGAGTGAATGCTGGGAAGGGGAGGGGTGTGTGTGAATTATACAGGTGGTGTGAATGCAAGGATGGGAATGAGTCAAGCAAGTGGAGAAAAACTTTCAACTTCCAACCTTCAGAGACTCAAGACTAAGTAAGTATCGTGAATGTTTAGCATGATCAGCTTAGGAGAAGATTCTCCTACTCCCTGACTAGTGTCTCCACACATCTCCTCATATGCTCCCTGACCTGTGTGGTACCTTTAGCACCTCCCTCAACCCATGCAGGGCCTCTTCTGTCACCCCTCACATCTTTGTGCATCCACTCCAACCCTTCTGTCCCCAACCTATGCAGTGCCTCTTAAAACCCCAGGCAGCCTTCCAACCCACACTTCCCTTTGCATCTTTGTGCATCCTACCTGACCTCCACTGAGTCTCCCTCACCCCCTCCTGCCCTTGTGCATCCTCCCAGACCTTCCCTCACACCCCCATGTATCTTCCCCATGCCACACCTCATGTGCATCTTCACTCCGTCTTCCACATTGCAGCAGCCACTTTACCTGCCTGAAGATTTGGGACTTGCAACTTCACCTCAGCTTCCCCACTCTTCTGACCCAGCTCCCCAAACACGACAAATCCTCTGAAGTTAACTCAAAAGATTTCTTTATTAGGAGCGCCAGCAGCCCTGGCAAAAAGTCTCTCTCTCACAGCAGGCTAACAAGTCCATCCATCCAGAAGATGGATCTATTCACCTCTTCCCCTTGCCTTTTATCCTGAGAGCTAGGATGGAGCTTTGCTAGCAGTGATGGCTCTTCCTTTCCCAAGATCGGCCCATAAGACTTCCACTGCTCTCCTCTCCTCTGCTTCTGCACATCGGCATTTCAGACACGGGACCTAGATGTTCCTCCTCTTTCTCATCAGCCACCTCCAGACCTGGGGGCTCTTGACTCTCCATCTGGGGGCTAATGGGCCACACAGGCTCCATCTCTGTCTCTATCTCTAACGATTCCATTCCCTTTTCCCCCAGGAGTTCTCAGATTGCCTTGATGCTGACCCTGACTCCCACGCCATCTCCTCCTCTGATTCGGCTGCTGGAGGGGCTGGCAGCCAACAGGTCACAACACCCACTGACTTTGCTTGTGGGAAGCCGGGCTGGAAGTTACCTGGCCTAATAACCATGGTATTCAGGACTGCAGGGATTGCTGCTGCTAAGTGATATAGCCATGCTTTAGTACTGCAATCCCTAGCAAAGGGAATTCTCCTCCCAATTGCTGTCATAAGTTGAGGACTACTTGTGTGAAAAATCTTGAGGTTGCTCTGTCATAAGAGAAAAAAATGAATGTGGCTGGAGCAGAACACATACAGGAAGGAAGAATGAATGGGTTGAGAAGACATCCAAGAAATTGGAGCTGATGAAATGGATGATAAACACAGTATGAAATACCATACAGATATAGTAGAAGCAAAGAGGATTTGAAAGGATAGAAGTATCTGTAGTGAATAGCATTAGTATAAAGTAGAATTAAGTAGATCTCCTCTTCTTTTATTATCTCATCTCCTTAATGTCTTTAGCTTATTATTTTCTTACTGCAGTGCTGCACTCTGCATTACCCTGCCAACTTCAAAAAGTGAAAAGTGCAATGCGTAAGTGTGTAGCAAACCATATGGAAGTCAGAATTTAATTCACATTTCTACTAGCAATATATGGAAGCCAAAAATGTGACTTAAAGGATACTATGATTTCTTAACATGGAAAAACCAGGGCTTACATTGGTTTAGTAATTTACTGATTTTTTTAAAAAAAATCAAAAATGCAACGGTTTATATGCAAGAAACATGTTTACTTCTCCTTTTAATTATTAAGAGGGCAGGAAGTAAGAGTGATGATATGTTAAATTGTACATGGGTGATCTGTGTGAACAATTCCAAAATGCTACAATGTGTACTTAAAAAAAAATCTACTATATTCCCTTAAGTCACAAAGGTGAAACATTTTTCCCATTGTGTTACATTGCAACATTTGTATTCCTCTTTGCAAAAAAAAGAGGTATTTCTCTCTTTCTCATGTCTTTTTAGGAGATAAAGATCTTACCTTCACATCTTGCAGTTGAGTATGTATATCCTGGTGGGATCTCCTCAATTGTCTGTTTTCTTCTTGCAGATTGTACATGGATTCTGTTTAAAATTCAGTGTAAAGAAGTGTTCAAACAGACATATCTTCGTAGGAGGAATTCTAATTGATTTATGTTTTCAAATATTAACTAAATGCTAATCTGAATAGACCTGTCTTGCCCAAATATATGCCTCCCACCGCTGTATCAAACTACAAAAACCCATAATTCATTTCTAAAGGTAAAGGTTCCCCTCGCACATTATGTGCTAGTCGTTCCCGACTCTAGGGGGAGATGCTCATCTCTGCTTCAAAGCTGAAGAGCTAGCGCTGTCTGAAGACGTCTCCGTGGTCATGTGGCTGGCATGACTAAACACCAAAGGCGCATGGAACGCTGTTACCTTCCCATCAAAGGTGGTTCCTATTTTTCTACTTGTATTTTTACATGCTTTCGAACTGCTAGGTTGGCAGAAGCTGGGACAAGTAGGGAACTCACTCCATTGCGCGACACTAGGGATTCGAACTGCCGAACTGCTAACCTTCTGATTGACAAGTTCAGTGTCAGTGTCTTAGCCACTGAGCCACTGCGTCCCCTATTCATCCCTACCAACTTAATTCATTCATTCATTCCTACCAACTAGCAAATGAGAGGATGGCCTATGTTCCCCAATTCCAAAATTACTTAAACAGCATCCCTCTATACCTTTTAACTTGGACATCGCCTGCTCCTTTTCTTGCTGTAACTGCACATATTTCTGCTTGTGGTCATCAACTGCTCGGTTGAAATCATCTCCCTGTCTCTTGTGTTCGTCTTCCAGATCTGAGTGCTGTTTCTTTAGTTCTTCATGCTGGCTCTGCATAGCACAAAACCAAAACAAGAAAGGAGCACAAGGATTTCTTGATCTATGCAGCTGCCAAATTTTGTTTTTGATTTTTCAATGCAGCATCACTCCAATGATCGTTGCGGTTTGTGTGTGTGTGTGTGTGTGTGTGTGTGTGTGCGCGCGCGCAGTGTTGATGAAGATGCTTCCAGTATACCATTTCTGGCCTACTTCTTTATTTTGNTATGGATTAGGAATGGGAGGTCACTTACAGTAAGTTCATATGCGAGTAAAGGCAGGTGAGCGAATACTTTTGGCAATATAGTGTATATTTTTCTCCTGTAATCACAGGCCTCCGCCAAACCATAGGAGGCTGTCCTTGTTATACATGTGTTCTGCAATTTGGAAATCTGGTTCACTTCTAATTTATATGCCTGGAACAAAGGAATAGGGATCGGGGACATTGATGAAGTTGGAATCTGGTTCAAGAATTTGCCAGAAGCTTCTATTCTTCTCCAAAATTTCCTCTAACCCAGAAGCGGTTTGTGGCCTGCCTACATCTGAAGAGGGAGGACACAGCCACAGAAAATGAAGAAATACATCAGATCCTGCAACTGAAAGTACTTTTCTTAATTTGTATTATTCCTTCCCCTCCTCAGATGTGGAGGAGTTTCATTTTTAGGCAATTCTTCAACTATCTCAACAGGGAGCTCTGGAAGCAAGAACAGATTCCAATATTAGCCTTGGCTGTAAATCAGATCCTTATTATGGCCAATGTTCTGATGTTTATTAAATAACTGCTAGAATAAAGTAAGTGTCCTTTATCATAGTAGGAGGCTGCCATTGCCATAATGATCATAATTCCTTGTCAGAAGGAATTCTAATTTTCATATCCTGGCTGAGGATATCTTAGGAAACTACTTAGGAAATCATTATTCGAGGTTTTTTTTTTTAAACTGTGTTTTAATGTGATATCTAGATTAAATCATTTGTCCTGCTCAGCTTCTTTTCTCCTGCCCTTTGAAATGATAACAGCGACCTTTTTAATAGGATTGTTACATGGACTACTGCTGCAGTAATGTTCAGAGCACTGTATCAATGCTAATAACCATGATGATGATTAAATACGATTGCTTTGCCTTAATACAGTCATTTCATATTACCTCTTTTTGCTCTTTAGCGGCATCTGTGCCCTGTGTTTTGGAATCACTCAGAGGAGAAGGCACAGGTGTCGCAGGGAAACCATGTGGCGACTCAAATTTTTCAGGTTTCTGGAAACTGGGCATCTTTTTTAAGGTGTCCTTCAACTGCCTGTATTCTTCCACCTGAGACTAGAAATCAAATGTAACCATTAGATTTCACTGACAGAGAAGCTGGTCTCAGTAATAAATGCAGGGAAGCAAGAGGCTCCGAGCTGATGCAGGTATTTTAACTAAACATGCACATTTGATCAAAAATGTCCATGTGCTACATCTTTCTATGCGGCAGAGTGCATCAGTTTAATACATTACAGCAGACATGCAAAGTCTAGCAGAAAATCCCCATAGCTCAGAAAGGGGATTAGTTTTTCATGCCACGCAGAAGAAGAAACTGTCAGTAGTGAATTATTACATCTTCCTTCAATCTTTGGGAAGGAAAAAAAAAACCACCCACAAATAGAAAGCATCATGGAATAAAATAAAAAGGAGGGAGGAAGGGAAGGAAGGAAAGAAGAAGAGAAGGAAAGAAGGGAGGAGGGATGGAGGGAGGGAGGGGAAGGGATGGAGGGAGGAAGGAAAGAAGGAAGGGGAAGGGAGGGAGGGAGGAAGGAAGGAAGGATTGTCTTGTTCAGTTGCCCGTAAGGATAGGCTTCCCTTTTTTTAACAAAAGTGTTTGTTTAAGAATGGATCAACCCCAGGATGTCTTGGGGACTCTTGGAAAGAATCTGCAGAGTAGGAGATTGGGAAATATTACCCTGCTAAATTCAGCTTGCTGCTGTCTATAGTGTTTAAAAAGAGTGACTCTTGATAAAATATGGAGAGAGAGAGAGACAGAGAGAGAGAGACAGAGAGAGAGACAGAGACAGAGACAAAGTGAGAGAGAAAGAGAGAGAGAGAGAAAGAGAGATGAAGAAAGAGAGGGGGAAAAGAGAGAGAAAGAGATAGAGATAGAGAGAGAAAAAGAGAGAGAAAGAAAAAGAGAGAGAGAGAAAGAAAGAGAGGAGGGAAAGAGAGAGGAAGAAAGAGAGGGGGAAGAGAGAGAAAGAGAGAGAGAGAGAGAGAGACAGAGAGACAGAGAGATATGACAGAATAGCTCCTTGAAACAAACTACTCATCATTCTCCAGCACAATTACTAGGTCACAAGAGCAAGACGTGGTGATGGAGCCACACCAATAGACACCATCTAGTTCAAAACTCCCTGTAAATCCATGTGACGAAGGCTGCATGTGGAGTTAATTTTAATAGCCTCGCAGAAAGGAAGACATGACTGAGTGAATGGAATAGAGTGATTATTGGCTTTCTGCAATATGTCTGTGTTATACCTGTGGCTAAGAGACGTGATGATGCAGTGCTTAGAATGTAATATTGCAGACTAATTCAGCTCACTGCCAAGAGTTCAATTCTCACTGGCTCAAGACTACTCAGCCCTCCATACTTCCAAGGTCGGTAAAATGAGAAGCCAGACTGTTAGGGGGCAATGTGCTGACTCTGTAAACCGCTTAGACAGGGCTGTAAATCACTGTATATAAATCTAAATAGCTATTGCTATTGCTATACAAAACATGAGGGTCCACAATCACCATCTACCTAGCAAACATTAAATTGGGCCTACCTTTCACTGTAAAACATCCAGTGAAATTATCACTGTCTGAGAGCATGGGAAAGAATTCTAAAACTACATAGATAAAAATAAAATAATTTTCACTAACTTAATTGCCAAGTAGATAGAGACTAAGTTTAAAGAATTTTTTTTAAAACAAAACAACAACAACTGCATCATTACCTTGATAGAAAGAAAACCCTACACAATTTTAGACAAATGGTTGTCTAATCTGTTCTTAAAAATGTCCAGTGTTAGAACAACTACAACTTCTGGAGGCAACGTGTTCCACTGATGAATTGTTCTGTCATGAAATTTCTCCTTAGTTCTAGGTTAGTTCTCTCCTTGATTAATCCACTACTTCTTGTCCAGCCTTCAGGTACTTTTGAAAATAAGTTAACCCCATCTTCTTTGTGGTACCCAGGGGTGGGTTTCAACAGGTTCGCGGCGGTCCCTGCGAACCGGTTGGTCGGCGAACCCGGAAGTAAGTAACTTCCGGGAACGGCGAAGGG